TACGTTTCATAACATTTAGTTGAGGCAAACTTAAGGTTCCACTAAAGTCAAAATATAGGACACTTCATAAACATCTAAACTTTGCCTGTATTTTTCAACCTATAATGAGTTAAGTCATAAACTATGAGAACATATGTTCATTTAAACATACTTAACATATACACACTGTGTAAATTGTAAATAAACTTGAAATTGTTATGCTGTGGCCAAACCGGTTCTTGGGGTGAACACTAAATTTTCAAAAAAATCTGGAGGCCTGTGAGACGACTTAATTTGCTTAAAATTGGTATGGACGAATACTGTTATATCTAATGCAGGGCAAGCGCATGTTGATTTGTCACATACATAAGTTTTAATGGCATATTTGTCCAATTTCTGTATTGTAACTTCGATATTTGTTCACCTAGATACATGAAATTAACTGAAACTCGAAAATCAATACATTTTTCTGAAAAATCAACATGCGCTTGCCCTGCATTAGATATAACAGTATTCGTCAATACCAATTTTAAACAAATTAAGTCGTCTCGCAGGCCTCCAGATTTTTTTGAAAATTTAGTGTTCACCCCAAGAACCGGTTTGGCCACAACATAACAATTTCAAGTTTATTTACAATTTACACAGTGTGTATATGTTAAGTATGTTTAAATGAACATATGTTCTCATAGTTTATGAATTTACTCCTTATAGGTTGAAAAATACAGGCAAAGTTTAGATGTTTATGAAGTGTCCTATATTTTGACTTTAGTGGTACCTTAAGTTAGAGAACAGAAATGAAAAATTCAGCAATTTTTCCATTTGTAAAGGGGCATAACTCTAGAACGGTAAAAATTTAACTTGATCTGAGTTTTGTGGTAATTAGAATTTTGTATAAGTTTCATAACATTTGGTTGAGGCAAACTAAAGTTCGAGAACGGAATCGAAAAATTCATCAATTTTTCCATTTGTAAAGGGGCATAACTCTAGAACGGTAAAAGTGAAGCTACAAAATTCGAACTTGATCTGTGTTTTGTGGTAATGAGCATTGTGTATAAGTTTCATAACATTTGATTGAGGTAAACTAAAGTTAGAGAACGGAAACGAAAAATTCAGCAATTTTTCCATTTGTAAAGGGGCATAACTCTAGAACGGTAAAAGTGGCGCTACCAAAATTCAAATTTGATCTGTGTTTTCTGGTAATAAGTATTGTGTATAAGTTTCATAACATTTGGTTGAGGCAAACTAAAGTTAGAGAACGGAAACAAATTTTTGGAAGTATGGGACGTAAATACGGATGTACAGACGGACAAGGGTAAAACTTAATGCCCCCTCCGCTACGGCAGGGGCATTAAAAAAGAAGAATGTGTCTGAGGAATGCCCCCACTCAAACTTTGGAACTCCGGGAAGGACAGGCGGACGGAAGGTCAAGGGTAACACTCACTATGGTGGGGGCATAAAAAAGATATATAGATGTCAGCATTGAGTCTTTAACAACAGATATGTGTTATTGAATATGTCAAACACTAAATTGTCCAGTCTGTATTTGAGCATTGTGTTGAAATTTGTCTATATATTAGAAACCATATAGTTATTTCTAAACATCTGTTCTGGTTTTATTGTGATGTTGCATTGCTGTCCTTCTGTTATATTCCCAACGGCTTCTTTTTATATATAAAAGGTCAACAAAAAAGATGGCGACCTTGAATGATCAAGGGCATTAATAAAAGAACATGATATATTTGTTTTTTACAATTCTATTCAGTTTTTGTTTCCGTCATACGTCAATTGCTTAATCAAAACTCCAGAAAGAATTTATTGTCACAAGAATAAGCCCAGACCAATTAGAGAGAACATTTTATAGGATAACTACTGCACTAAGACACTTCAAGAAAATATTCTCATTTGATTAGGCTATAAAGCAGCCAATCAGAGATGGGAATTTGATTTACTGCAAATAATCAATGACTAGTAAAAAGATCTTTTAGGACAAACATGTGGTTAATGTCTCTCTCATGACCAATTTGTGCTCTATGAAAACCAAATGGCCAAAACAAAGCTGTCCTGTCCTCTCAAACCATGAAAAACATTTTAGAGAGTATCCTCATTTTGCTCTCTTCAATAAAACATAATTCAACAAGGTCAACTGCACCAGTTGTATTTATCATTTGCTCATTATCACCAAATTTTCCAGCTAAATTTCTAAAGACAGATCAGCACAAAAACTTGGGAGGTGATCTAAGGTGTTCCATCAAATGATGAAAAATTGAATAACAGGTTTCTACACATAACATTGTAAGGCAATTTTTATTTTAAGAGTCATTGAGCATCTTTGGTAGTACTTTTCTTTATCTTTTGCATTATTTTTTATTGATTATCTTTGGGTTTTATCTTTATTTTTTTTATTTCCAAGGTCGAATGAACAAGTTTTATTTATTACTTATCTTGTGATTACAAAAAAAACCTTGCATTATATCAACAATTATCTATCTGACTAGATCACTGTTGTGTTATCAGGACACTGGTTCCAAACCTATCCTATCTTCATTCACAGGAAAAAAATACCTCATGAATGGTTAAATCATGATCAATAATTGTAATCTTCTTAGAAGAAAAACTGTGATGATAATAGGATGACAGAAATGTTAATAAACTAGTGTTTTGAACATGAAATTAAAAGCAATGAGACAGCAATTTGACAGCAATCTGAAAAAACCCAGTAAATAAGCTGACATCTAAAGGTCATACATGTATACAGAAAGAGGGAGAAGAGACTAAAGGGACACACAAAAACCTTAATTCAAAGACAAACAGACAACATTTATAACAGAAAAAAAATGAAAACTACAAAAAGAAACACAATCAATAAAAGTCAATCAGAAAACTATAGACGAGTCAACACCAACCCAACCAAAAACAAGGGGTGGACTCGTGCTCTGGAAAGGTTTCATTAACTATGAAGAAGTGTCCATGCTAAACAGCAATCTCCATTTAATGATAACTTTAGGATAGCACAGGACAGGTATTTTTTAATGGGTCTCCCTAATAACTTCACCTAAGCTATTTGATACAACAGAACACTTGCTGATAAGTGGTTTTGTTTATTGTAGATTATCAGACACAGTGATGCTTCTGTTATAATAGCCCCTTTGTTAACTACTGATATATTTTTTTCGTTTGATCCAACTTATCAAATTTTATACTTTTTTTGGACAGCTGACTTAGTTGTAACATGCCAGGGATCTCAATCTGAAGATCCTTCTATTGCATCTGTGAGCTGTGGATAGCCTGCTAAAAGGAACATCACAGCAGCAAGGTAACCGTAACGTGTGGTCAAAATATAAACCTACATTGGGTTGCCAAATAACAGGTGGATTAGATACTAATGAAATTGCATTGAAAAAGGAACAAAATGTTGGAATCCAAAATGAAATGAGAGACCTCAATCAAAAGCAACAGTATGCGTACTAGGACTGAACTTCAATGTCAAAGTGTATAGAAATAAGTCTGAATAACCTGCCCACATTTGTGTACAGTGCATAAAAAAATTGAAATTACTAAAAGCATCTATATTCATGTTGAAAGAAATTTAGTTAATTGATCAGACGATGTGATGCAAATGTCAAAAGTTCAAAACTCCTGGTACCAATATATCAAATATTTTGCTATGCATCAAAGCGTCATTTGTTTTGATTTCATGAATAATATATAAGTATAATATCTATCCACGATATAAACACCACTTACATAGATTGAAAACTCATACAGATGTTGGTTTGATTGCATTTAATAGTTTTTGAACAAGTTTCCCATGAGACTCCAATATCATGATAGACTGAGAATCCTTTTCAATAGTTATACAGACAACTTGGTTAATTGCAATGCATCAAAATGTCATTAATGTGGAAAATATAATATTTCATAATAAAAGTACTTCACAAATATGGCAACATTTAGAATATGAGGGATGCAAGTAAGTTGTTTCTGTGTACTTATGAATGTCTGTATAAAAAAAGTAAAATAACAAAAATACCGAAATCCAAGAAATATTCAAAACGTAGAGTCCTTTGTCAAATTGCAAAATCAAAAGCTTAAACACATCAAACATCGAATGGAAAACAACTGTCATATTCCTGACTTGGTACAGGCATTTCTTTATGTAGAAAATGGTGGATTACAATATATATATAGTCAGTTAGATGTCACAATGCCTTTACAGTGTAATGTAGCACAAGGAAGGTCTAAAATCATTGATAACTGACTACAATATGACAATCTGAATAAAACCATCATCCTTCTGTTCATCTTTTATTTTCGACAATAGTTCTTGTTTGAGAAGTATGAAAATTTTCTTGTTATTAAACTGATGGCTGTTTTCATGCCATTTAACAGTTTATTTCCTTCAAGAAAACACCCCCTGGATCGATACAAAAGTTGTTAAAGAAAATCTCCCGTAATTTTATCATCCACGGTCTAATAAAATGGTATCATGTTATAATAGAAAAACAAAAGATATGGATACCCATCCATGACACAAAATTAGTACATGCAAAGCAAAAAACACACAAAAAGTAAAGGAACAGCGCTTTAGTATATCCTCAAAACATCAGGTGACTTTACAGGTATGAAATAAAAGTATTCAAGGTATTGTTCACTTTAAAAATACACACAAATGCAAATACTTTGCCCAAGTTATGCATTCTTAAGCATTATGATATGTAATGCCAATTTTAATTTTATACCTTCTGCTGTCAATTATACAAGGAGGGTCAAAGACCTATGCAATAACATTTGGCAATGACAGTTGTCATTTCCGTGATGATTCAAAAGTATTTCATTAACATAGGAATAAAAGTACTCTGTTTGAAGACTTTCTAGGGTCATAATTATGCTATGCCATAATTCATTTTATACTGCAATTAACAAATTCACTTCAGTTATTGGAGAAAACTGTTGCCACTGACTATTGATAATAACAATTTCTAAAGTTAAGGAGATGACTAGACTAGAGACTTGATACATACCCCTGTACTGACTAGAGATAACATTATTCTTTCATTTAATGCTAATGTTTCTCCTTGCTTCATTTTAATACGCTTCTTATCCAAGCATTTCATTGCATACCTATCAAAAAGAAACCAAAATTAGAATAGAAGTATTTTTCATCAATAAGCATGAAAAAGATTTAAATAATTGTGGATTTCAAGCAAGGAACAGCTATATAATAATAATAATATATTTACACTTCTGTAAAGAAAAAACTATACTGTGGATTCATTACTATTTGTGGGGTACCAGTTTATCGTGGATTTGGCGTGTAAAGGTTAACTATGAATTGAAATGTTAGAATTTTAGGGATGCATAAATAGCCTGCCACATCTGGCCTGTGTTTTTGTTACTTGTTTTTCTGCTTTGTATATATCTGATGAGTTAAGCCCTTTTTTAACTGATTTTCATAGTTTGTTCATATGTTGTACTATTACACCACTGTCCCAGGTTAGGAGGAGGGTTTAAACCGCCACATTCTGTATGTGCCTGTCGCAAGTCAAGAGCCTGTAATCAGTGGTTGTCTTATGTTGCTGCATATTATATTTGTATTTCGTTTATTGTTTTTTACATAAATCAGGCTGTTAATTTTCTCGTTTGAATCGTTTAACATTTGTCATCTCAGGGCCTTCTATAGGTGACTATGCGTTATGGGTTTTGCTTATTGTTGAAGGCTGTACAGTGACCTATATTTGTCAATTTCTATGTCATTTGGTCTCTGGTGGAGAGTTGTCTCATTGGCAATTATACCACATCTTCTTTTCTTTATATTCCAATATATTTACACATCAATATAGATATTCAAATTAAATACATTACCCGGTATTAAATTGTTTTCTACTCACATTTTCCCTGTATCTGCTTTCCGACATCCATATACTTCTCCAAAACCTCCTCTTCCTATAATTCTATGTACACTAAAGTCGTTCATGGTTAACTGTAAAAGAAATATTTGACTTGTTTATAACATGTGTACAACACCAACAACCTCTATATTTGCATGTTCTGTTTGCCATTAAGGTACTTGGCATTCCCTGCCTAGTTTTATAGGTTAAACTTCATAGCTTAGGGGTGTACAGCTGGATCCTCTACTCAATATTCAAACCTCCCATCTTCTTAACTCAAACTTTCCATTCATCACTTTGACTTCCTGGTTTCAAATATGATTATACTAACACCATGCTTTCTGTCCTCCTTGCAACAACCTAAATAAGTTCTTACCCCCAGCTCCCTTGCCCCTAACTCCCCTGTTTGTCAGTAAAGATATTATTTTTTAAATGTAAAATCCTCAATACATTAACACGTGTCCATTGGAATGCATTTTTTTTTTTAATTAGCATTTTCTGAATTTCAGTTGTATATCATACACTTGTGAAATATATCTTGATATTACACAGTAAATCAAAAACTTATTTGATACAGGTTAAAATTATAGGAAAAGCTGAATGTCCCAAAGATATTCAGGAAATCTTGTTAGGTTTTAAACTGTAAAAATGAAAAAAATATTTTATAATGGAAATACCTCAATGATTGTAGGAACAGAAGTGTTTTATACTAATAAGCTTGTACCGTTAGAACGTGTTGGTTCACTCGTGTTTATTTTTAATAAGCTTTTAGTAAACTGTTATCAGTAATCTTATTTTAAAATAGTTCATTCATTTAAAACTTTAGATTCAAACACACTTTAACTGCATAATGTCTTCAGTTTTTCGAGCTTAATATTATCAGAGTAATGTCCCTTTAGAATAATTATCACTACTTCAAATTTTTCATAGAATTTTTTATCAAATAGAAATATTTATAAACAACCTGAGATAGATATACAGCTGACAGCACATACCTCATGTCCTGGCATGATTTAGAAGGCTTGTATTTCAAATAAACCATTGGGATTTTTCAACAAACAAAAAAAAAAATCCAAATATTTTCTTATACTTAATTAGCATAAATTCTATCAAAGGCTTGTTATAAAACAAAACAGAATTTAATCAATAAAAATTGTCTATCCATAAAGAATGTCTTTTTTCCCAAAGGTTCATGACATTTTACGATTATTGCTAAACTCTATATATGGCACAAGCAACAGGATGTATTTCTAACATTTAAATTAGCCAGCCTTTAGGAACACACGTTCTATTCTACACTAACATAACTATATTGATCCCGCTGTATAACTATAATGAAATTTTTTCTGTATAGAGAATATAATAAAATCAGTAACAACACACACAATTAGTTCAACTGGTTCCTGGGTACCATTAAATATGAAACTTCTTAAAAAGTTACGAGTAAACTGCATGCATTCATACACATATATATTAATATATATATATGTAAGAAAATTAATGAAAGATAATAACGGTTTCAATTCATCACTTTTACTAGCGCTTTCGCTGCTTTTACAGATCTTCAGGTAATGTGACTTGTATACATAAGTGTTATAAAACAATTGATTGACGTTAACAATAGTATGACGTTAACAAATACAAGGAAGATACTAATGTCATTTTAAATTTGGAGTAAAGTCTTTAAAATGTTATGTAAAAATTAAAATATTATTTATCATTTAACCCCGGGTTGAGAATGTTTATAAATAATTCTGCTTTCTTCTTCCGGAGAAAATCATTTTGACGATTGACCATATACAATGGAAATATTTTAAATCGTCCATTAGAACAACGATGGAAATGGTCTTTAACCCTGATGATTGTTAAATCTTCATGGTTGGTTTGCTGTCTATGTACAGTCATTCTAGTCCGCAGTTCCTTTTTTGTCTCTCCAATATAGAATTCCTCACAATTTGAAAATATGAGAGAATAAATGACGTTTGAACTTTATATATATAGCTTACTGTTCAGTGTGAGCCAAGGCTCCGTGTTGAAGACCGTACTGTGACCTATAATGGTTTACTTTTATAAATTTTGACTTGGATGGAGAGTTGTCTCATTGGCACTCATACCACATCTTCTTATATCTATATATACATATAAAGACCTCTTATTTGATAGAACACAGGAAATACAGTATCTCAAAAAACTCTTTTGGATCCATAGATAAATAATTTTAAGATTTAAGATTAGTTCCAAAAAAATTAAGATAGCAATACACCTAAACACATTTTTCATGTTTTATGGTGGTTCAATTTAGATTAATTTCAATGGGAAAATGCCTTGTAGTGATGTTGTCCTATGGAAAATATAATGCATACCCAGAAGAAAGGTAATAACTTGTGAAAATAAAAGAATATTTAGATGAACATTCGCTGTGTAGCAAATTCAAGTTTTAAATGTCATGGTCTTATTTAGAAATTCTGCAAAATAACCATCCTGGGGGCTGAATAAAAATTAGCCTAGAGTGCTAAAACACTAACAATCAATCTATCATCTCAAATGAAAGACGTCTAAATAACCATTCACGTCTAAGAAGGCAATCAGTTTCATCTAGCAGACACAACGTATTTGATGATAGTAAACTGATATGTTCAAAATAATTAATTTGTCTCCCCTTCCAAATTAATTTCTCTTAAAACTAATTCAGAAATTGAGGATTCAGCCTAGACTGATCAATGTCTTTGACAATTCTTGTACATGTCTTTGACATGGATAGATACAATGACCTTACAATATTCAATTACTGGAGTATCTGCTTTGGCAGGGTTATAGACTGGAACATCAGAAGACTGCCAGCCTTCAACTATCAAGAATCTATTTTATTGTTCTAATACAGATATGTCTTGCCTGTTTCAAAGCTAAATTAAAAGTGATTATTTTAAGAACTGTGTTATATACTATACATGTTAAGAAACTGATATATTTGGCTGCTGATATGACATCTAGTATACTAACTATCACTGATCTATCTTTAGTACTTTTTCATGAACACACTTTTAAATAACAAAGTTAACAATGTGAACATTTCAAAGTTCGGTGTGAAAGCATTGCTAGTAGATTTATTCTTCATATACTACTTAAAACTGAAATTCATGGACTCTAAGGCAAAGTATACAAATTATCAATGGTCTATCATAAACCAAGTTAGACAGTGCAATATTTCAATCATAATTGTAAATTTGCATGACAGTTGCCACATGTAGAGCAGGAACTGCTTTCCTTCTGCAGCACCTGAGATCATCCCCAGTTTTTGGTGGGGTTCATGTTGCTCAGTCTTTAGTTTTTTATATTGATATGTGTATTGTTGTTAGGCTTTTGGTCTTTTTCTTTTTTAGCCATGGTGTTGTCAGTTTATTTCTGACTTATGAGTTTGAAAGTCTCTTTGGTATCTTTTGCCACTGTTGTAAAAGTTTGAAGTCAATAAAGCATGACTGATTGTCAGTGAAAACTTTATATTGCTATAAACTGAAAACAATTGATACTTATGCATTAACAAACCATCTCATAATTAGACCTAATCATAAAACCAACATTTTGAACATTGGGGAGACTTGGGGAGAAACTGGCTCATGATACTCGTCAGAAATTGACATGCATAATGCATTATAGACACCAATGCAACATATCAAATATTAATAAGTAATTATTCTGGATTGGACCTAAAATCAAGTGCTGGTGGAAATATGACAATAATGAACATAAATTTACATTACCCTCTCAAAACATTTTTTTCCCAGACAAGACACAAATTTTATTTCAAAAATATATTTGTTTGCTATTGCAAATTTTTTTCCCGAAATTTTTTTTCTGAGCTCTGGATTCCTGTTCCTAATTTTACATTAGAAATCCAATACAACTTTTCAAGATTTCAAATTGTTTTATCGGTAATAAATCAAACATTTACTTATGTTTGGTTTATATCGAATATTCAAGACTTTCTAAGGCTAAAGGTGAACAACTTGTAAGAGTCAAAATAAAAAGGCTCCATGACTTTAACTATCAGAAAAACATAGTCCCTTGTATTTTATGGCTTTTAGATTGAGTGTTACGGTTTGGAAGTCTGTCAGTGTATATATAACACACCTGGATTAATGATGCATGGAGACAAGAGATCTGAGATTTGTATGATGCTTAATATTTGATGACCTAACAGTAATGGCAATTTTAATGTTCAATTTCTAATTTTAGGAAAGAAATGATACCACATCAATAGAAACATAGCATTCATTAAGACAAAGGAAAATTTTCCAATGTAACTACATGTACCTGGTATTAAAAGCTTTGTACTTAAAAATTGTGCTGGTTTTTTTTTAAGAAGCAAACAAATATAGCTACTATATTATGAATAAGAGTAAAACCTATTTCCAAGGGATCCCATAAATCAATCAAATTTTCAAAACAATCAGAAACAATTTTCAGCATTAGCAAGACTAAAAATTTCAACTTAATTATGTTTCATTATTTCAGAGAGTGCAACCCATTACAATTTGCACATGCAGCACTTTAAGTTCAGTTCTGTTTAAAAAGAAAGCAAAAGAAAGAATACAAATCATTCATATCCAATACACAAGATTCTAAAATATACAGAAGGAAACATTTTTGATCCAGTGAAAATAACATTATTTGTGATAGCCTACAGTGAATTGCTGATAATTACAATGAAGATTTCTTACTTAGTCCCCAAGTCTGAACTTCATGTCTGAGTGAATATTAACCAACTTGCTTAAAAGAAGTTAACAATTTATCTAAAAGTACAATTTAACATTGGTGAAGATAAAACTTCATTTTTTCTTTACTATGTTTACTAACTTCTACATAATTTGATCTAGTGGAGAGTTGTCTCATTGGCAATCACATCAAATTCTAATTTTATTTACAATATTTCTCTCAACAGTTACTTGATGAAAAATGTCCATGTTTCATTTCAATATTTGTAAATGCACAACCTAAAACTGCATTTTAACATATTTTCTGATATCCTCTATTGTTCTGTTATCTCCAATTATATGGGAGACAACTCTGTAAGGAAACACAAAAATGTATGTTGTGTACTAACAATGTACAAGTGGTGAATCTTAAAAATCTTCTATTAATTTTCTACCACAATTTTTGTATAACTACCACAGAAAAAATCACTTACATTGGAGAAATCCTGTTCATACTTCAACTGTTAAATAATTAATATAATTTTAGGATATTAAATATGCAGAAAATGTCAGAGCTTATGAATAACCAAACACCTCACAACCAACCTGAATTATTTAAGTATAAATGTATAAGCAAAATTGTCATACCAAGATGTTGCAGGTCAGTTATATCAAAGGTTATTTTTCAATCACAAACAGAGGTTCAAATTAGTATAGGTCTGGAACCAGACTTTTCTAGTGGGTGGGGGGCTCTTCATTTTTGTTTTTGTACTACCGGTACAAACTTTCGAGAACCAGTGAGCTCTAATATGCAATTAAAGGTATGTTGATTTTTTCAGCACAAGGCAGGATAAGGTATAGTTTTGATATGATTAAATTACAAAAGTCGAAGACCTTCCATTTTTTTAATTTGAGGCCTTTTACAGGACCTTTGACTTTCTCAAAGATGACCTTTTACTTGAAAATTCAAATGGTTTAGGACCTTCATTATTTAAAGCAAAATTTAAACACCTAGTAAATTGAAGTGCTGGTTCCAAAAAAAAAAACAACCCCTTCTTTTCGAGTTGAAAGACAGTATAGACATCTTATAAGAAGTGAAGTGAAATGTATATTGTGAACCTGTCATATCTTAAGTACCCTATTCCCTGTTATAATAACAGCTGATGACAATACCAGACTATTCTTTGTGTCATTGCATTTGATGCTATCGCACTAATGAGTACACATTCATCCTGAATATGCATGAAATATTTGCCACTGATCAATAATAAGCAGCAATCAATCAATGATGTATACACCACATCTCTTATGTAATTCATATTCTTAAATGATTCAGGTTGGCTGTCCATTATAAAAAAAATCAGCAAAGCATTTAGCAGAATAAAATGCAAAAATTCCCAAGAAAAAGTGGTTGTAATAGATATCTGTTCATGCTATATATTGCTACAGTTTGAAAAAAAATATTCACTGACTTGTAAAAATCACAAGCTTAAGATATAAGTTTTAACTATTGATTATATGTAAATGCCAAAGACGGAAAAAGAATGCATTTCAATATATGGCAACAACAGATATTGCAAAGGATTCGTGTGTAGATTTTTCCCATGGGTAAGATCATGCGTCTGATTGCAGAACGTATAAACTCATCCAGTAAAGTCCATATACTTACTTTTGGCTAAAATTAAAAAAATATCAAACAAAAATAATAAATCAAAGTTCAAACTAATCAATTGCATGCAAACAAAAATTATGCAGTGTTCCACTTAAATATCTGTTGATTGTGCAAAATATTTTTTTTTCTCTCTAAAGAATACTTTTTTCATGGTTTATGTGAATATTAGAATTGGATTACACAAGACTAAGAATTGATCTTAAAACTGTTTCCATCCACGTGTTTGACTTAAATCTACTTTAATTCAATATCTTGAGAAAATCAATCTGCACTTCATGGCAGAGTCTGGAAGATTTAGATTTTCTAGACTCGACTTTCTGCCGATGTCAAGTATTGCTGTATTGTCTATCAACTATTGTTCTATATAGCGTTAGTTTCTAACCTTTGTATACCAACAAATAAAATCTTGATGCAAATGAGAAAGCTAAATCTTTATAAAAAAAATCTTGACGCAATCATTAGAACTCTTCTTCTTTTTAAAATTTTCACAGGAAACTAAGATTTTGTTTATCATCATCAAATGAAATAAGTGCTCTTGCACTTATCAAAGTCCTCTGATACTTTTTCTAAGGAAAATTTACAGTTGTTTTCAATCTAAATTATCTTATGTAAAACAAATTCCCAAACTCTAACATGAAAACCTGTTTGTAGATAGGTTTCATCATGCTGTTTAGATCCTTTCTAAATTACATTTTTTTGAAAATTAATGACTCCAAGTATCAATTTGGTTCAGCACATTGGTTGACGCAAATGCTAAACTTATCTATCTTTAATGGAAAAATAATTATAGTACACTTTAATAAAATTGTGTCCTATTTGAATCTAATCTTGCTCAAAACCGTGAGTTTACCTATGTGTTATTAGTCTTTTACCTTCCTTTAGAAAACAGTATTCAAAGTCAAAGGAGTAGGTCCGGTAAGGGCCGATTTTGGCCTCAAAATTCAGGTTCATCTGATGAAAGATTTTGGACACTTTTTAAACACTTAAGTGTCTACTTCAGTCGATTCGATTAGTTTATGTGAAAGATTTGAACTGGTTTAGTCATTAAAGACGCTCAAATTCAAGCTTAAATATGAAAAAATCTATCAAATACGCCATAATATGCCACTTTTCAGGTGTTTTTTGTCAAAAATAAAAGTGGCCGCATCCGTGTTCATTCTCAACCTTTATAAATGTTATGTATTATCATCAAATACAACTTACATTTAAATATTAAGAATGAACACAAATGTGGCCACTTCCATTTCAGACGGAAACCGTCTAAAAATTAACCCAAATGCTAAAATTTCGAAGATTTCAGTAATTTAGCATGACTTAATGATGCTAGTACCCGATACATGTGCATTGTATTGTCAAAAACAGCCCATATTTATGTAACAGAAGTGTTCTTCTTTCAAAAAAAATAGCTTAAAATTTACATTTTAACAATTTTGTAAAACTGCTATATTTTGGGGCCAAAAAGGGGTCTTACTGGGCCTACTCCTTTTCAATCATCTATATGTAGCCTAAGACTATTGTCAATCAATCATTTTAATCACTCATTTTTGAAAATCATAATTCATGCTCTAATATTTTGTACTGCTATAAAACTTTCAGCCATAAGCATACTCAATGAAGATTAATTACCTCATAGTCATTTATTAGATATCTATGTCATGAAGTTGCAGCCTGACACCCGTTGGGCCAAAAATAAAATTTGAATTGTTTGATGTTGCCAACCTACCTATCTAAAAAGCAGCCTATCCGAAAAAATTTATCCACAAATTTTATAATTTTTTTCCCTGTTCTAACGTCTTTTTCTTGTCTAAAACATGTAACTTATGTTGTTGGCCAAAAACAAATAAAATCCCTATCTTTAGTAACCTACCCAACCCTACAACACATGGGTAGGCAACTCAAACAAAGAATTTTTTATGGGTGGCCTTAGACACAAAAATGTCTTTTTTACATTTCATCTATTCTAGTCTTTAGTAAAACTATGTAAAAGTTGATCAAAGTAGACTTCAGTAGTTGTTGTTTGTTGATGTGGTTCATAAGTGTTTCTTGTTTCTTGTTTTTTATATAGATTAGACCGTTGGTTTTCCCGTTTGAATGGTTTTACACTAGTAATTTTTGGGGCCCTTTATAGCTTGCTGTTCGGTGTGAGCCAAGGCTTCGTGTTGAAGACCATACTTTGACCTATAATGGTTTACTTTTATAAATTTTGACTTGGATGGAGAGTTGTCTCATTGGCAATCATACCACATCTTCTTATGTCTATTTGACATGTCATGTCACTTAATTCGATTTCAATATGCATGAAATAATTGCCACTGGACATTACGCAAACAAGCAACAATCAATCAATTAATTTCTAGACACCACTTTCGAAAAATTGATAAAAACTTAATTTGTCTAAGATAATTGATATTTGAGAAATTACTTTCTGCCTTGCTGCTCAAGGGAAAATCTATGCATCATTTCCCCACATTTGTTCCCGTTAATTTTTGTATTTGATTCATTAAAACCAAAAATGTCTATGAGAAAAATAAATCTTCCAAAATCATGCCATCAGCTATCCGTTGTTTTCATTTATACTATAGACTTTTCTTTTTTTTTATTCAAAAATAAATATTTATTTCTTACAAGGTATGTTCATGGTCATAAGTTTTGGAAAGCAGGAAAAAAAATAACAATTAATTACAAAACACAACGAGCATAAAAAAAAGATAAACAGACAACAAAAGAAGTGAACAAACAAAGCACTAATCAAATAAATTATTCAAAAAATAGCAAAACTAAATCATCCTTATTTTGCAAGTTTTAGAATGTGCAAAAATTTCAAAAGAATCGATTACTGTAAATATAGAAAATATTGAGAGTATTAATGTTATTAAGATTTTTGAAGAATGGACAAATATGCAAGAATAACTATTGCGATTTCCAGAAAATCTGCATACTGATGTATATATCAGATATCTGACTGCGAGTTCTAATTATTGCGATTCTCACCTAGTAGCATTATTCGCAATAATAAAAACCTAGCAATATAATTTCTGAATTTACAGTAATAACATAAGAAATTTGGGCATGGACAAACAAAACAGTGGTTTACCATACATCTCCTTCATCACATGGAACATTCCAAACATACAAACTTTGTATAGTGACTATCATAGGTTAACAATTTCTAAACATTAAAAAAATATCTTCTTTTAATTTGACAGTATACATACCTGTATGTTTAATTCTAAATTTTTCCATTGACAAAACCTTGTATATTTGTCGCTGAAAGTAGAAGAAGAATAAATACATAACATTAATATGAAAACAAGAATGTGTCCATAGTACACGGATGCCCCACTCGCACTATCATTTTCTATGTTCAGTGGACCGTGAAATAGGGGTAAAAAATTTGGCATTAAAATTAGAAAGATCATATCATAGGGAACATGTGTACTAAGTTTCAAGTTGATTGGACTTCAACTTCATCAAAATCTACCTTGACCAAAAATTTTACGCTGAAGTGGGACAGACGGACGAACAAACGAACGGACGGACAAACAGAGGCACAGACCGAAAAACATAATTCCCCTCTACTATCGTAGGTGGGGCATAAAAATGAGAAATTTGTGGTTAACATCAATGAGTGAGTAACACAATCAGACAACTGTATCAAGAACTAAAATGTTTTAAGAGACCTGTTCTTTCAGATTGATTGTTTGATGACTGCTAACATTTCAGCAGCAAATATTACATGCATGTTTATAGAGAGAACATATTACTCAGTGACAAAAAGATTCCAAGCTTTGTAATTGACTGAAACTCAAGTCAGATTTATATCTTGCTACTTCATGCAGTAAAATAGTCTGGAGGAAGACATGTCAATCAATTTGGACACATTATCCTGACTCAAAGCCTACCAGTTTTTGTTCTTTCTCATGATAGACATTCAGATATACAAATATGGTCTTTTAAATCATTGATATTTGCCTACAGTCACGACATTAGTTCTTAAACACCTCCGGTCAAGTGATAAAAATCCTCAGAGACATATATATGTTATTTGAATCAGTACTTAATTTTGTTTTCATTTAGTCTGTTGGGATTTTTGGTTTGTTCTAATCTTTATTTTTTTGTGTGAATATATATACACAAGAGAAATATGATATGATTACCAGAGACAACAATATCTATAATATCTATGTATAAAATGCATTATTTGGAATATATAGTCTTATAAATAGATTTGCTGTCTGTATCAAATAATGTTATGAGACATCTAATTTCTGTGTCTTTCATTTTTTTTATGCCATGGCACTGTCTTAGTTTGTTTTCGACTAATAAGTTGGAATGTCCTTTGGTATCTTTCACACTTCTTTTTTCCCCATTTAACAGACTGTTTCCTAGTTTCATATCACTATGACTATTGACTTGTGATATGACCATCAAGGCTGTTAAATAATTCTCCTCCAGGTTTATAACTTTCCCCATTTACATTGTCACTGAACATGATGACAGCATATGTAAATGCATACTGTTGTTGTTGGAACAGAAATATTTCAAACTGACATGTAAATCAATTTAATATGAATAAAAGAATTGGGGTATACTTCAATGTGACAGCAACCTAACAGCTTATAATGTCAATGTTTTACATATAAAGATACCCTCAAACTTATTAATTCTCAATATTGCAGATCCAGTACAGAAACAGTAGAATCTGTCTTAATTCTGAACCATGACTAAACTGGAAACCTGTTTAAACCATGGTCTAACCAACTTTCATGTACCAAACCTCCCTCTTGTTTGACTCATGTCAAGTTTTCATATTGTATTTACATGAACTCTTCAAACAACAGAAAAGCATATGAAACAAAAAGACTGAATAATATCAGTGGACCCCTCACATGTATAGCACATATCTACAATACCAGTGGACCCTTCACATATATAGTACACTTATCTATAATATCAGACTCACTGGACCCCCTCACATGTATAGCACACTTATCTATAATATCAATGGACCCCTCACATGTATAGTACAAATATCTATAATATCAGTGGACCCCTCGCATGTATAGAACACTTATCTATAATATCAGTGGACCCCTCACATGTATAGTACACTTATCTATAATATCAGTGGACCCCTCACATGTATAGTACACTTATCTATAATATCAGTGGACCCCTCATATGTATAGTACACTTATCTATAATATCAGTGGACCCCTCACATGTATAGTACACTTATCTATAATATCAGTGGACCCTTCACATGTATAGTACACTTATTTATTATTTACTTAGTAGAGAATACGAGTAAATTGTCTGTGTAATACAATCAATGGCGATCATGCTGTATCAGTGATCTGTGATGATATCAATATCAGCCACGGTTTTGAATGCTATATTAAACCCCTATTCTGTATGACGTCACATCATGGATATCAATCATGTGCAAAAGCTTTATCAAAATCCTAATCTGCATTAAGTCACGTCACATGAAAACATCTACGTGAGGTATAAATTAAAGTGCATAAGATGATATGGCTGTATCAACCCTCAACCAATATAATCCATCAAGTAGAGCTCTTGGGATTATACTGGAGTTTTGGATTGATACCGGTGCAATATGTGAATTGACATATCATATTCTCTTTGTATCAGTTTTTGGGTGTGAAGACTTGTTGTTGAATTCAGGGGGCAGTCACATTGATAAAAGTAGTAAAATAATTAAATTTTGTGCTGTTTAATTTATGTTTATTTTATTTCCAATTCTACATTGATTAAATCTAATATAACTGCTTGTTATCTCAGCTGGTATTATAATGAAAAGACAGAATATTGGAATATCTATCAAATTTAAATATCCAGGTTTATTTACTGTCTTATCAATCAATTTAAATTATTGTGTTTTTTTTTAAAAGTTTAAATGAGACTTTATCTCAGTAACTTTGGCAAATATCCCTGTTGAAACATGAAAAATAAAAATATAGTTTATACATTAAGATTATGAGCATTACATTGTTATTTTAGAAAATCTTCCCAGACAGTCATGCTTATCATGTAAAGTTTATTTTTACATAATACTCATGTTTTTTTCATTTGAAGGCTAGCTAAAAATAAACATTTCTGATAACTGAAGTACCCATATGAAAATAGCCACAGGAATGAACTAGAGAAACTGTATTATGCAGACATTTGAATTATTTAGTAAATTCTATAATCATTATAAGTTCATGAATGACTTGAAGATGTGTGAATTGTGTCAAAGAAATGACCGTTGTAACAATGAATAATATTTATTTTAAAAAAAACTTTATAATTTAATTTAAGATAAGGAAAGCAAAAGTGAAAGAAAATGTGAAAAGGAAATGAAAGATAACAAGACACTTCCACTTTCTTCCTTTTTTCTGAAACATCTCTAGTGATTTAAGTTACTCAGGATTTGTACTTCTATAAATAACAATTTAATATTTTTAGGATTTTTGATTGCCCTCTTATGTTATCTTCTTTCTCTTTCTCTGGGACAATTTTGTGGTATTTTAAGAACATTTAATTGACATTAAGAATTCCTACAAGATGAATGCAACATCTATTTTTTTCTGTCTGATATTGAAATTATAATTGTAAAAGTTTTTTTTGCTATTGAAACTTTATTATATTTTATATTGACAATTCATGAATGAAGGATAAATGATGAAAATATTTTATAACACTTGAATAAATATTATGAGAGCTAACAAGGGAGGATCAAGGGGGCAGACTTGCCATAACCTTCGGACAAAAAAAACATGATTATTCAAATGCATTTTTCTTATTGTCTCACATACCTACAATGAAAGTTTCAAAGATGAAATTTTTTTAGGACATTATAACTTAGTTAAACCATCATCGATTTTTTTTAGACATTATGATAACTTAGTTTTTTATTATTCAATTCTGAATTTACTGGTGATTTGACCTATTTTTTGGCAGTCATTATTATATTTTTACACTGTCAGTGCAGCTCCAGGCAGAAAAAGCATGATTCAAAGGAACCCTTAACAAAAATGTTTGATGGGCCTTAGCCCTATACAACATCCCCCCTTTTTAAAGCAATATAATCAACCACTTCTTTAACTTAGATTTCCCATCCCAACTTTACAGCACCTTAAGTAATCTTTTCAATCACAGTTTATTGCAAGACAAAAAATTTCAGCATATTATCGCAAATGGAAATAAATTCACATAGTGTGATTGAACAGTAGAACTTCCTGATAAGGTCATTAGCTATACCCTAATCACAGTATTCCTTATACAACATCTTTATGGAATTCCATCCTTATATTAAATAGTGAACGCTTGGGTTGTTTTCTTGTAAACAAATTGACGACTACCTTATTGAAACTGTTATTTCAGCATTTTTTACTTAGACTTCAAACACATTTCTGTAAGTGAAGTAAATAATTTGTTAACAAGGTTTTCATGTATCCATTGATTTTAACCAGTTGTGATTGGTCTTGATATATTTCATGTCTTTTCTGGTATCTTACTTTTATTGATCTGGACCAAAAGCTTGACAAAGAATCAAAGTTTCTCAGTGGCATGTTGGATGACAGGAGTGGATCCAGAATGTTTGAAAATAGGTGTAATTGCAGAAAAGGGAATAGAAAAAAATTTTGAAAGCAAAATGTCTACCATGTAGTTAAGAAGGATAATAAAGAAACTGAAGAAGGCCAGTGGCCTAAACGTCTTACAAAATGGTTAATTTATATACAATAATATAATATGTGTTCCCTATGGGAATTTTGAAACAAGGATGAAAAAAAACATACAAATCGTGAGAAACATGAGATTTTTCTTTTTTTCGGCGCTCAAAAGCCCTCTACGTCCTATCCTACGTCTTAACTGGATGACCTTTTTTTTTAAAGTGGACAATTCTAGTTTAATCTAAAATTAACCACAAGCAGCCTTAACATGTCAAGAGTTGAAATAAGATTGCATGATTACTCTGGAAATTCTGGCATGTAGCAAAAGAACTGATTAACAAATGAATGGTTAAAGAGAGGCGAAAGATACCAAAGGGACATTCAAACTCATAAGTCGAAAATAAACTGACAATACCATGGCTAAAAAAGGAAAAAGACAAACAGACAAACAACAGTAAACAAAAAAACTTAGAAAACCAAAGACTGAGCAACAATTATGCTTTGGGAGCTTTAGTTTAAATGTACTCAATGTTTTGATCATCCAGTCATTTATGTTCAAATGCCATGGTCTCTGGATTTCTGTCTTAA